ATTATTATAATTTATAATCTGTTTTACTAATAAAATTTAATTTTACACTTAATTTATAAAATTTCTTTCTTAATAATATATTATTATGCATATCTAACCTACAAATTTCCTTATATTAACATATTTAATAATTTCACTTCTTAATTTATAAAATTTCTTCTTTAATATCAAACGCACATTTAACATATAAATTTTCTTTCTCTGTATACTAATATATAAGATTCTATTTCCTAAGATACAAAATATATAATTTTCTTAATATTAAATTATAAAACTATATGTAAATCGTACGTATCCAATTTGCAAACTTCTTTCCACAATATTCCCTAGAAGTTACCATGGAATCGTCGAAGAATCCATAACACCTTCGAATCTCTAAGCCGAGTTTCGAACGAGCTCAAGTTTCCCTAGACGGGTTTTCAGTTTTCGATGAAGAAGATGGCAAAAACAAGGTGGCATTTTATGGGTTGGTCGACTAGCCGGAGTTACACGGTGCATAATATCGTAAAGTTTCGTTAAGGACTGTCCGGCGCGGTCTCTTCCCAAGCCAATATCGTGTTCATGTCCTTAATGCCGCGTGTGCTCCATGGCTCGAGCGGATCCGTGGGCGATGTTGCCGGTGAAACCGCCTTATTCCGCTCGATCGATTCTCTTCTCCTCGGACCAGCCTTCTCTATTTCCTTCGGCGATACCCTGTGCATGCATCGTACCGAACAGAGAAACCATTAAACGAATGGTCAACCCAGTTGTGTTCATGTGCACACGGTTGCACCAACGTTGCAGATATTGCTTTCGATTGCGATTTGGAACTGGACTTCTTTGGGACTTGTTATTTTAGTAAGAAAATTTAAAAGAATTTTTTTTCTTCATTTATTTATTTATTTCTTTTTAATTTTTTATGATTGAAACTTGCAATTTAATGCACGATGTAAGATAAATATTTTTTTTTCTATTTAAAGGTTAGGTATGGTGCATGCTAAATGGAAATTGAATAGATCTTGAATTCTTTTACATTGTGTTAAATAATATTTGTATTGTGTCGTGAGTTGAATTTTATATTGTATGTGATATTGTATACAATAATTGTACATTTTTTCATTCAAAATTTTGTTTTTAAATAGATTAAATTTAAAAATTAAATTTAAAGATTTTTTTTAAAGATTAAATTTATCACATAAATAATTTTTTTGAAAATGAAAGTATTCGTTTATTTCTCATTTCTTTATTGTTTATATTTCTCTATCTTCCAATACGAAAAAAAGGAACAAATTAAAGTAAACCTAAATCGAATAAACAACCAATCCATTGTGCCAATATTCGCGAATTCACTTCCCTTGTTCGGCTTTTATGACATAATCTCGATTTATCCTCTCACTTCACTTTTATCCCGTGTAATAAAGCAAAACATTTCAATTTGCCTTTAATAATAGCCGATATCACCGATATCGTTTCCCAAAACGTTTAAATTCCTTCTTTCACATGTTACGAGTGCAATATCGCGCTCGCGTGATTTCGAATACTGTTTATCGAACGATTGGATACTCCGTGATCCGATTTCGTTGTCCCGTCACGTCCGTTTAAAGAAGAATTATTAACGAGTGATTAATAATTTATCGGCGCATCGAATTCCATGGAATAATTACAAGGGACGTTGACATTTCAACGAAAACCAACTGTAACGGTCCAATACACGCGAACTATATATATTACATAATATCATATATCATAATAGAAAATGCGAAATTTTGCGAAATATTAATTTACAATGCTTGTTTAGAAAATGCTATCCATCATTTTGTTAGATGAAATATTCATCATTTGTTTTAGGATTTTGAATAAAAAATTGGACGACATGGATGATGGAACGATTGATACGATTAACAAGTTTTTTGCTAATATTAAAAATTTCTTTAACCTTTTATATTATGTACTTTGCATTAATATTGATATTAATGAGAAAGGATGACAAGTATAGCTATTTTTGTATATAATGTACGAATAAAATGATAAAATTTTGTCTAAAGTAATGATCACGTAAGTCGAACTTTGGGATGAATCGAAAGAATTCAAATATGATCAGGTGAGATAATTTAAATTGGATTTAAAGTAATACTATCTTTCCCTGATTTTCTCCAATTCATATCGAATATTCTATAATTTAAGAATCATGCGTACTTTGAATTTTCATATATTTTAATATAGTCACATTATAATATTCTGCAATATTAACTATAACACTGATTTATTTATAAATATAAAAAAAAGAAGTTTTTAGAATATTTGAGTAACAAAAATTGACAGACATTAATTAAATATATAATGCATTTAATGCAAAGAAAGAACACTTCTTTGATCCATAAATTCATTTTTTTTTTCTCAACTTTTAGTTTCAAAAAGAATCGACCTTCACTTAACTCTATTAAGAATTACGACCTCCAAGATACACAATTTTTCATTGTTCAATTTCCAAGTAATCGTGTATTGAAATAATGAGACTACGAGGAAAACGAGTCACTCGAAACTATAGAATAGAGCAGTGATTAATCGTCACAATGAAATCATTGTGTTGCTCACAGTGCTTAGTTGTTATCTCGCGGATATAATGCAAAACGTTTTTGTTACAATGTTTGAAAACAAATCTTACGCATTTGCAGACAAAATGTCACGTCTTTATGGAAATGTTCTTTTTTATAAATTATCCACCAAACATAATCGCCTAACATGATAAAAAATTGCTACGTTAATTTTATTAAATTTCATAAATCTTTAAAAAAAATAATTCAATTATTATTTTCAATAAGTAACAGACGGACAGTTTTGTAACCAATTATTAATTTAATATTGTACAAATAAATCGATATAGTCCATCATTTATTTATACGAATCGATGTAATTATAAACTAATCAAAATAATATATAATTGAAATCAAATAAAATTATCTTTCCTTTCCAATTATACTCATCATCTATATCATCATAACAACTTTACGCAATTTCACTCGCGCGAAATAATATGAAACCCCGTCTCTCTTAATTCCGTCCACGAGTACGGAAACGAATCTATCTGTTCCCCCGATTCTGTACCGGAAAATAGTGGAAGGAAACATTCGACAAATCTAAATAGGAAATCTATGTTCCAATATTGCGTGTACCCCATGCCTCGATATGTCGGCACACGAATCGATTGTTGATTGTGTTGCACCGTACTTCTGTTTTCAGTCTGATTGTATATAGGGTGTCTCAAAATTATAACTGAGAACTAGAAGAATTTAATTCTTCGTGAGAAAATTAATTCATGTAAAAATAAAATATTGATAACAAGATTTAGTTTGGTTAATCTTGAGATAATCGCAAGTTGTATAAATCTTTTAAAAATCTAATTTTTGACAAGTTAATATATTCTTATGAAATCGATGGGGAAATTTAAAATTATCCCAAGATCAATTAAATCTTTTCTTTTATATCAAGTTATAATTTTAAATAAAACTTTTTTAAAATTTTTACTATTATAATTTTTAAAAATCTTGAAAAATCTTGGCACCCTGTATATTTTTATGTGTGTCTCTGTTGGGTCGTAGCTTAACACAAACGAGATGAAACATTGTAACTCGGGCTATTATGTTGTAATTACTTTTTCAGCCTGGTCCAGGAAATTGTGTGTTTTCTATACTTTCATTTCTCTGCTGGACGTAGCCGCGGCGCGGTCCTCGATGAAATTTCATTAAAATCAAAGAAGATCGTTCAACCGTGCCACGGATTTCCATTCTCCAATATTCTTTAAATGATAATTGTTTTGTTACGTGTATACGTCTTTATGAAACGTTTGAACGGTGTGGAAATGAATAATGGGGATCGATGACAGTTGAAGAATATATATATGACGTCAAAATGTCAGATGTCTCATGCAGTATTGCTTTGTGATAAGTATAAACTAATTGAAACGAAATCGAGTTTTGCAAAAAAAAAAGAATCTTTCAATACCAATTACTTTCATCGTTTAATTAATCCTAGTGATTTTCTAGTAACGAAATCCTAACCTTAAAAAGTAAACAGCTAAATTCAAAAACTCTTTAACAAAAAAAAAAAAAATAACAAATTTTAAACAGCGAATATATAAGCACAAAATAATATTATCTAAGTTTGTAAAATGAAGAATTTTCTAGAAAAAAAAAAAATTCTATAACTTTAAATTTTGTCCATAAATTAAAAAAGCATTTAATTGCTTCGAAAATATGTTTCATATTTACAAATTTACAAATTTCGTTGTAAATATCATTATGATCATTGTTTCGGACAACGACGAACCTACCTATTTTTGGCCGTTTTTGGTCTTTTCTTCTGGACCTTGGCCTTCACTGTTTCGCACGGTGGCCCGTTCTGCTTTATTTGCGAGTTAATTGCTTCCATGGAACACTCTCGACTCTCGATTGGACGGTCGATCGAGTTTTCATGGCCGTTGAACAACGACTGATATCGAGGATTTCTGTCCATGGACGTGGAAGATGTGGATGACAGGTCGTCGTCGACGTTCCGTGACCGTCTACGTGTCGTGATAAATCTGTTGTTCGCTGATCTTATTCTACGTAGACGGGCCTCAGTCCCGAGCAGGTTGTCGCCTGCGATAAGACAATCAATTTTCATGAAATTCACGTGACGCTTAACGCCCTCCAGTGAAATTCACTGTCGAGATAGTTTCGTTTTTGAATAATTTAATTATAGAAATACATTTTAACATTTTAATGATGATATTTATATTATCTTTTCTTATATAATAATTATTTTGTATATCTTAGATATTAAACTCGTTGACAATGAAAATTTTCATTCAAGAGAAGATCCATTATTTGTGATGTATCATTCTTTAGAGGTTAGGTTAGCTTCTATACAAAAATTGTGCTGTTTATTTTCTCACTTCATCGAAGTAGATTCGAATCAATTCTTCGATAATAATAAATTAAATGTCTAGAAGAATTTTAATTCCAGATTCAAAAAGTATTAAATAAAATTTCGTAAGATTAAATTTATTACGAATTCGTTGTCCAAAATAAAAATAATTTTGTCATCACCTCCAAAGTCATTGTCACTAGACTCGACGAAATATTGTTTCCTTGTAACGCTGACCTTCTCCTCCATAGGTATCTTCGTCATCGTGAATTGTTCTAAAATTTGAAGATTTATTTTAGAGCTGGCTTCTGTTTCGAAGCCTGCCGCGGCACGTTTCGCTATTTCGAGCAGGGTTTCGGGATCGTTCGTATTTTCGGAAGCAATCACAAGTTCCAAAAGTGGATCCTGAAAATCCTCGGTCACGCTCGAATCTGGAACAAATATATGTATATGAATTCCGAGATATTTTTTTTTAAATATTCAATGTATCGTGAAACATATGAATTGTTAAAATAAACATTGAAAAAAAATGGATATATAAATATATTATTTTCAAGACCATGTTTGAATTTTTGAATATTGAAATTCTTGTAATCTAAACTTTTTCTAAAAATCAGACATTCAGAGATATTGATTTTCAATTTAGGAATAGATTATATGTAATTGTTTTGCATAAAAATTTAGTTTCTTTGCTGTAAGATTATTTTTTTTAATTTTTATATAACATTTATATTATTATTTACAATATTTTATTATTTATTTAATGTTTATTAACTTGCTGTTTAAATAAGATTAAACATTCATAAAATTCAACTCAAAGATGAGATAATTTACATATTATTTTTATAATGTAATATTTATTGTATTTATTAATTATATTTCAAAAATTGTTTGTTAACATTTCACTGAATTTTTCAATTAAAAGTATGAAATAGAAGTTATCTTAAAACATTTAATTAATTTTTAACATATATTCCAAGCCAAAAAAATGTTCAAAAACAACAATAAAATTGCATTGTTATTTATCCTAAATAAAAAATCCTATATTATCTAATTTACAAAAATTTCAACTTGTCACCAGGATCAATATTCTGAAACAAATATCATTCAAATGCACTTCACCCAACAACAAATAAACCAAGAAATAAAGTATTAAATTACATGGAAAGAATCCTTTCAATATCCTCTGTAATGAAAAGAAATCCTACAGATATAAGCACGTTTTCATCTTTATTTTTTACACTAATTGTAATTGTTGGATGCAGAAAGAGATTGTTTTGATTCCTTTCGAATAATTTAACTAAATTTTTTTTTATAAATGTCCTATCTTATTCATTATTATTCTTCATCTTCAAAATTGACGAAGTTATAACATCAAAATTAAAAAACAATCTTACTCAACTCTTTATTTTTCCAGAGACTGACATTCAAGTTGGATATAAATCAATCTGAATCATCCATAATTCTATGTTTACATATTAACACCAGAACAGTGAAACCTGTGGATAATTTCGTATATTTTTGTTATACGATTATTGAAAATGTTTTCGACAAAATTTACATAAATATTTATTAAGATAATTATAATTATGTACATATATTTATTTTTATTACATCACACTTTGATTTACACGTAAAAATAGACATTTTAGATACTGCAAACCGATTCCAACGTTTTATCAAGGTTCAACAATTCTCCCAGTTTCATAATTTTAAACGAATTTATTACAATTTTTGTACGAACCGACGATTGTCACCGAACTCCACGGCAACAGTTCACCAATTTATCTTATTTACTCTTCTTTCGATGAAATGAGAAACCATATATATACACGGTTCGATGCACACGTGAGTCGGTTACGTATCGTATAACATATTTTTCCCCGAATTTATTCGTTCGAAAATCAATGGATAACGAAAATCCACCAAAAGCAGTTTTTTTTTTTTTCCATTACGTTTGCATCATCATTTCCACGGAACGTCCACGATGCGGGGACGTTCGATTTTTAATGAAAATCCGTTTCCTCTGAAAATCCATCACAAGCCGCACAACGAAAATAGACTGGTTTTCATTATTTTAATGCGCGGAACTATGTTTCCCCCCCAAGTTTTATTAACGCGGTGCACACAAAGCGGCCGTGATCGTAATAAAAGTTGGCAAAGCTGCGTTAAATCCTGACGAATGTGAATTATTTTTCGTGGTGGGGAGGGGAGAAAAAAAAAATGGGGAAACGCTTGTTGTGTACCGATGCCTGAAACAGTGACATTTTGTTATGTTGCTCGTGGGCGGAAACGGGATCAAGGACAACGGAAACAGCATCGCACGACGACGCTACGTAAAATATTTGAAATACGTCTCTGCTCGTAACGTTAATCAAGTCTTTATGCGTGTATATCTGTTTACTTGTTTGTATTCGCGTGTATAGCGTGTATACAGGTATCCGAGCGTGCGAATATTAAAAATTTAAATAATAAAAAATATGTACGCTAAATATTAGTTTTCGAAAATGATATCCATCAAGGATATCATAAATATTGTGGAATGAAAATATTTGTGTAATAAAAATATTAAAAATAATTTTCGAGTGCGAGTTGAAATATTGAACGTAAGTTTTAAAAATAATATTTGTGAAGAGTTAGCGAGGGTGAACGAAGGTATTATGAATAGGAGAATTATATAAAAATAATTTTGAAGAATGTGGAAAATTTATGAGAAATGTACGAATGAAAGTATTTGAGTTAGCAGGATATTTGAGGATAAGGTTAAATATAATTTTATGATCAATTATGAGTTGAAGAAGTATTGTATGTTGATGTAAATTTAAAATAATGGAAATTGCGAATTGGAGAAGCTATCATTGCTATATTATTGTAATTATTTAATCTATATTATATTTTTAAATTCTTGTTATTATTATTATTAAGTACTTTTAAAAAATTTGAAAAAAATATTGATAAATTAGGAATGGAATATATATTTTTGAATTTCAACAATGGAATGGATGGTCTATTAATTGAAAAGGGTAATAAAATAAACGAGTTTTGTGATAATAATTTAATAAAATTGAATTTTAGTGTGGAAGTGAGAAAAAAATTGAATTATTTTAGAAATTTAATGGAATTTAATTTTGATCAGGACATAATAAAAAATATATTTATTTCATTGATTTTTGTTTAATACTTAATAAAAATATTTGTGCATTCTCTCAACATTATTAAAAAAGCATGTATATATTCAGTTTAATTTATTCTGATAATTAATTTAACAAGATAGAAGTTCTATAAAAAAATGTAATTCTATTTTGAATAATAAATATATTAAACTATTAATAGTCATTTAAAAATAATGAGACAAAATTGATATAAATTAACAGAGATATTTTTTTATCAAAAAATATATCAAATAATTTAATACTTAAAAATATATTTTAACCAAAATCCATTGAAAAATAATTAAAATCTACTGCCTAATGTGAAAATATTCAGTAAAAAAAAAAAAGAAAAAAAAATTAAAAAATATTTTTCGTTAATGGAAATGTTGAAACAAAATTGACAATTAAAAAAACTAATAGCAAAATATTACAATTCTTAAACAAAAAATATAATTAGCCCAAAATGTGTTAATTTATTATAATGATATGTTCGACAAATGAAAGAAAGATAATACGTTATTTCCTGCCCAATACACTATTTTTCAAATTAATTCTTTTGATTAACAAATTATCTCGATTTCAATTTCAAAATTGACACTTCGTCTCATTTTTAAAATAATATCGAGTCATAAGCGATCGATTTCAAACCATTCACCTTGTATGTGCACAGATCATTATGCAAGCATAATGATCGAGGTAACCAGGAAAGAATTTGCAAGATTTAATTGAGTGCCGAGTTAACGAGACTCGATAACAAACTAAAATGAACCAAAACTTGGAACATTTAGCCGAACTTGGTTCTGGCTATCAGCGATCTCGAATTTTCTTTTTAATTATTCCACTTCTCGATATTCTGTAAATGGATGATACCAAGTTTGGAAAATGGATCTTTTTGAAATTATTTATCATTTATCGATGTAAATTAAATGAGAATTCGTATTCATGCAAAATTGATTTAATTATTTGGTATTATTAATTTTTTCTTTTTCATCTCTTTCTTCATTGTAAAATTTTAACGAACGAATTATGAAGAGATATATAAAAAACAGTTCAAAGAAAGAAGAAAGGTTTATACACATATATATTTGTTATTGTGTCCCTTTTGTACTAAAAGGGTGTAATTATTTATAATTGGCAAAGAGAAGTTTTAAAAGCAAGGGAAAATTGTTCGTTTAATCCTTATTTTAATTAAAAACCTTAATCTTATTATATCCTTATTTTAATTAAAATCGATCTTGCTCGATAAATTTGAAAAGTGAGAACTATTTTGCAAAATTTGGAAAACATATAATATATTATATAAAAAATATTTTATCAGAATGAATTTTTTAATTGAAATGAAAGAATTTATATTTATGCTTCTATCAAAATATTCTGTTAAAAATACAAATATTTATTCTAATATCGAATTTTTTCCATTTAATATAATTTAATCTAATCTTAATCTTTTTAAACTCAGACATTTAAAAATACATATAATTCGTTTGTTAAAAATACAATTTTATGATTATAATTATAATTATAAAGATATTTTTCTAATTTTATTCATCCTATTGTGAAACACCCATTTTGAATTCACAACCTAACCTAATCAATTAAACTTCTAATCATTTTTTATTATATTAGTATAAACTTTCTTCAAGCAAAATAAAATACAGTCAAAATCAAATATAAAAACATTACTCTCGATAATTTCTCTCGTTCAAAATATTTAAAAGAAATTTTTAAAGGAATCTATATCCATAAAAAAAAATTACCAAAAAAATCTCTGAAAAATTCATAAGACGTATATTTCTCTTTCCGTTTAACACTTTTTAAAATTTTTCTTAACATTTACTTCTTTAATAAATATTATCATTATTATATCAATAAATATTATATTTTTATAAATATATCATTTTACTTACGATTCGCGTTCTTCAAATTCATCTCGTGTATGCCTGTAACCTGGTTAGTTACTTTTTTAATTTCCCTAGGATTGTTCGCCTGATCGTTCGCATTTTCCGTGGTCGATTTCAGCTGCGGTTCTACGTTAGTCGACACGTTCTCCTGATTATTCGTCGTCAATTTCATCTGCTCCTTGATAGCACTCTTCGGTTTCGACTGCTTGGCATCGATGTTGGTTGGAATTCCTTCCGTTGCGGTAGACAAGTCGAGATCATGGGCGAACGCCATGACATCCAAAGCTGTGGTCAACGCGTCTCCGAAACCGGCAGTCACCACAGAAACTTGAGGCTCGACCCCTTTTGGACTATACAGAAATTAGTTATTTTTTGCTTTCAATCACATTTATATATAAAATAATTTTATAATTAATTTTATAATTAACAGCTAATTTTGTAATAATTAATTTTGATTATTATAACTAATTTGTTATATGGATATACAATTCATTACATAATTATATTGTAATTAATTCCATAACATAATTAATTTGTGAGGGCATGATTTATTTTTGATTGAAATTATATATAATTATTATATATAATTATCATAAAATAGGAGAATGGTTTATTGAATTTTTATCCTTTGAATTCCTCGATTAATTATTACACACAAATATATAAAGATATACTTATTATTATGTTACAAAATTTACAATCAATAATACATTGAAATCATGTATATTGAAATGTTTCAATAATAATACGAAAGAAGCTTTTAGTTGCTTATTTACAATAAATTGAAAATTGTTAAATTTATAATCGATTGTTTATTGATTATCAATTTAATGTGAAATATTAATATAAAACAGAATAAGTTGGGTAATATTGGTAAAAATAAATGAAAAATTAAATTCGAAACAATTATAATGAAAAGCTTTAAATTATTTATATATGTATATTTTAAAGAAAAGAATGTTTAATTTCATAGCACATTTTAAATTATAAAAATCTATTTTAAAAAAAATCTATGATTATTTGAAAGTCACTCAAGATCATTAAAGTACAGTTTAAAATAGTTAAAAAAAAATATTTGAAGATCAATTCATTATGAAATTTGACATTGATTAATACAAAATAATAAATAAATTAAAAATACTCGTTTAAAAATCCTAAATGCAATTTTATGAATTTCTATTCGATGGAGTATGTAATTCGAGTATGTAATTCGAAGAAATTAATTTACGTGCAAAAGTGAAACTCGAATGAAACCGAGAGCAATAATTTTGAAAATTCATAAACCTGTACGTTTGAGATTTATCTGAATATTTAAATTAAAAGAATAACGTTTGAAAAAAACGCGATTGAAATCGAACAGAATATGCATGTCGCGGTTTACCATAAATATTTTAAGAAACACCGATGTATGGATTGTGAAAAAAATGTAAAACTTGCGATTTTTATTCGATTTTTGTAATGGTAATACATATATTCATATAATATCCATTTTTGATGTTACGCCTTTTCGTATTTATCGTAAAATATAATGTATAAAATTGAGATGATTCAGACTCTAATGCTTTTATTACTTCTCGAGATATTAAAACCATCTGAAGTCATTTTGTCTAATTATTTAAGTTCGACAATTAAAAAAGTTCGAACAAATATTATGCTAATTATATATCATGATAATTACCGTTAAGAATCGGTGGAAAAGCTGTTTAAGTATCTGGATAATTTTCTATAATTTCTTTAGCATATATTAAAATAAATCGAAATGCCATTAAAATTAATTTAATCTTTAAATTTTATATTTTAATAATACTCAAAATAAATATAAAATTATATTCAAAATATAAACAAATTTTAGAATTTAAAAGTTTCACTCTTTCTATGATATGATATTTCACGGAAAAAATTATTTCATTATATTTTATATACATTGAAATTTTCACTGAAAATTTTTTTAGGTTAGATTTCTCTGTGTATATCGTTTGTGCAAAAATTTGTACTAAGATTTTTGTAACTGGCTATAACATGCACATACCATAACCACTTAGAATTCACAGTACTTTCGCTCATATAAATTTCAAACACTATCCCGTATGATACAAGGATCATTAACACAAATTGGTAGAAATTCCAGTGTCTTTAAAGCAAGATGACAAGAGGATTCCTAGCAATAGATTGTCGAGGATCGCGGTCGCTAATATCACTCTCTGTTAGATCATACATAGTTTATTGAGTCACGTGTCACACCTCTCAATATTCTCGATATCGAATGTAACACGTTTATTGACGTTAATATCTGGTTTCCTAACCTTGACGCCTTGCATATTAACCGCCACAAATCCAAGGTCAATTATATCGCATTCCAATCAAACTGATACACAATCTACATATGTAGGTATGTATATTGTATCGTATGCTTAATTGGTATGTCGTAAATGAATCAATTAACGATATTAACCTTACGAATGTTTTAAATTGTTTCATAACATTTATAATTGAATCATGAAAAAGTAGAAAGATCGAAAATGAAGATAATATAACGATTAATGTTTCTTTAATTATAATTAATTATAAATAAATAAAACTATATTTAAATATTTTTTTAGATATAAAAATTAATTTGAAATTAAGGAATTAAAAATTACTTGTTAATGTAAAAAAATGAATTTTTAAAAACATTTAAAACAATATTTAACAAGTTCTAATTGTATATTTTGAATTAAAAAATGAAAAGATCAATTTTTATAATAATTTTAAGATAAATTATAAATAAATAATTTTAAGATAAATTAATTTTGAATTATAATAAATATTTTTTGAAAAAGTAAAATTTTGTTAATAGATACTTTATGAAAAAACTTTCTAAACAATATATAAGAGTGAATATTACCTTACTCTTACAGGTGTAGAAAAAGAAGCTCGACCCCACATAATTCGTCGCAATTCCTCTCCTGTTAAGCCACGTTTCTTTAATTCATTTATCGTCACCTTGCCCACACGCTGTAATCAGAAAACATAAAAATTGAAAATGAAGGATTAAATAACAAACAGTTTTTTTAAAAATTAGAAAATAAAAGAAAATTGAATTATGTATTACATAATTCAATTGATAATTGAAATCGATATATTTGAATAAATTCGATAAATTATTTCATTGATTATCTCATTAGAATCCATTAAAAATGATTATTAAATTTTAGTAAGTTCTATAGTTATAAGATACAAAAAATAAGTAAAAATGCGAACGACAATTGTTTAATAATAACAGTGTAACAGAAATTTTAACCTTCTCTAAATTAAACTTTCCTAAACTGAGAAAAATCGACAACCAACTACTCCTCAATCAACCCAATCCATTTCCATTTTCATCCTCTACCATCTCTCGATTTATTACCACTCCAATCAGAACAGTTTACAAATCGCTGTTAGGCAAATCTCTTGACAAACAATGAACTTAATTTCAAATAGTTTTACATATTTTTTTTTATTTATTTCAATTATTTGTATTCACGCATTTTTTCATCATCTCTAGTTCATTATCAATCATGTTTTTAATCAATTTTATATTAATCTTTTATTATAATCTTTAGATCACTTTTTTAACTTTTAATATTAAAGTTTAAAAATATTTTATAAATATTTAATGTCCCAGTTTTGATATATCAAATACAGATCTAGAATACAATATCAATAAAGATAAAAAAATTAATTTTAGATAAAAATATACATATCATTTTATTTGAAAATTAATTACATTACATTAATTTATAATGATTACTTTCATAGCAAAAATTATTTTATGAATCAAAAAGAAATTTTTCCAAAAAAATAATTGATGATAACAATAAAGAGAACAAAATTTATTAAAATAATTAAGTAAAGAATTATTATTAAATTATTATTAAATTTATAGATATTCATAGCAAGTAATTCATAACAAACAGATGGAAATACATCACCTTCCAATTAGCCACCGCGCCTTTGCGTTGCTTCGCCTTGGTTTTCGATTTACTTTTAATAATCAAGACTCCTCGTTGCTCCGAGGCAGGATTGTTTGGGTCATCTCCAGGTCCCAGTTTAATGCTATATTCTTGCAAATAATTCTGTGCATCCTTCTGTGAAACTGCACGTTCCAGAGAAACCACGATTTTCGCCCACTATAACCATTCAAACATGGGATCTTTGTGAAATTCTACGATATTTTATTTTAATTTAACTCGTAAATTAAATAGGAAATTTTTATTAAATTCTTCATCAAATGTGACTAACGTATTCGTAAATGTCATATTTTATCTTAAAATATTATATGAATAGAATTTGCCTCGTTATTAATTCATTGTATATAATCTCGTTAAATAAATTAAAAATTTTTAATTTTAAATTTAAATAGATTTCATTTTATCGAAATTTTTAATTCCTAATAAAGAATCAATTTCTAAAAATACACATAGTTCCATTTTTTAATATATATTTATGTAAAATATCTAATTTCGATGAACTTTCTAAAACAAAAATCCTGAAATAATTAATTCTATTGATAAAATTATAATTCTATACAATTATCTTATGATATAAAAATAAGAAAATCTTTATAAAATCATTAATTATTTACAATATATAATAATTGCATGCAAAATATTTACTTGTTTCACCCATTCCTTTTCACTCTGCTCAATCACGTGGGCATACGTGTTGCCCATCATGGCGATTAGCATGTTCAACAATAGTATAGGCACCAGTACCATAAATATAGCGAACACCATCTTCGATAAATTAGGATAGGTCGTGTAGCTGAGATCCGTGTACTGAAACGAATAATCGCTATAATTGTTATCGATATAATTCTCGCACGATCGAACAAGTTAAAAAAAAGAAAGTCGAGATATATTTGATCGGCGAAAATAATCGTATTACCGACAAAAGTACGTTGTTATCGATTTTTCATGGGAAATCCGTTTGAGGTTACTCTGCCATCTCGCGTGTTTAATTATTGTTCACGAACTGTGAATAAAACGAATTCAAATAACAATTTTTGACGCGAGTTTTTGAATCAGTATTATATTTTTTTTTGACCGAGTTTCAATATTCACTTAAGTTAAAATTATTGCCTTATAATATTTAAATAAATATAATATACATGAATAATTAAAATTGTAGTATGGATAAGCCTTAATATTTACTTGATATTATTGAATTATTGAATTATATTTAAATACAATATATAATATATAAAAAATTAAAATTAGAATAATATTATGAAAATTAAAATATATATTTTATGTATATTATTTTTCAATGTTTATGTATATTATAATATTATGTATATTATGCATGCAAAAATAAAGACAAAAATATTGAAATTAACTAATTTAATTTGATAATTCTAATATTGAAATTTCATACCAATAAGTGTTAAATTATAAACCATAAATTAAACTAAATTTTAATTATTTAATCTAACCTAACCTAACTAACTTGAAAAAAATTGAAATTGAAAATCATTCTTATTCCATTGTCTTATTAATACAATACTAATACTAATTAAAACACAAACACAAACACAAAATTTCTATTCCACTTCATTTTAATTCCATCTTTACACAAACTCTATCAATTTATATATATATATATTTTTATATATATTCGTCAATTTCAGATTCGAAAATCTATACGATAGGGTTACGAATCCTAAACAAACATTTCGCGTGCAATAAATCTTTTTTCGTTTCGACAGCATAATCGATTCGTTAATTACGCGAAAGATATACGAGAGATTTGGAAACACTGTGTTCACTCGCGTTATTTTCTGGGAGATACCGGAAGAAGGGAGGGGGTCGTTGTAAATGTAATTCAATTAGCCGCGGATATAGCGTGTGAATTGTCTTGATATTTCATCGGTGAAATTCGATTAATTGAAATGCACGAACCAAGCCGCGAGGACCTAATTTTTTTTTTTTTCTTTTTTTCAAATGCGCGTGCCATGCTTGCGATCTATCGATTGGAGAGGGGATCGATTCTTCATTCTCCTGGATTGAATTTACACGAGGGCAGGAATTGCGCGCGGATGTTACATTAAAAATGAATTTTCGCGTCCAATGCTCTCAACTATGGAAATGCGCGCGATTTTTTTTCCACCACCTCGAGTTGTTAGTGACGTGTCTTGTTGATGATAGATGGCGCCAGGAGTTGGATGAGAACCACTGATACTTGGAGATTGAATTCTCGTCGAGAAATACTTTTCATTGTTGTATAGATGGATGAATGTGAATTATTCTGTCATTTCGTTTATCGTTTTTCTTTTACTTTGTACACGCGTGAGTTTTGGAAATTAAAAAAACAAATTGGAATTGTTTAATAATAACTCTGTTTTGTTATATATAGTAAATGTTTTACTTGTCGATTTTCATATAAAGAATTACTCTCATATTTTACTTTATCTTTATCTTCCTATTCTATGCATTTATGCTTTTTATTTTCGACGAATCACGAGGGAACAGGTATTATTCCTTTTTTTTTTTTTTTGTCAGATATTGGGAAATTGGGATCATGAATTACGATAGAAGTTTATTTATATCAACTGGTCAAAAAGACAAATAAATAATGCAATACAATTTCACTTGATTTTTTCTATTAACTGTAACTTTTCGATCAGTTTTAAATAGCATTTTTATAAACTTGGCTTGGTTATAAAAAATATACGATTATTAGTAATATTCTTTAATCACTGAATCTTTTATTTAATTATTCGAATTTCTTTGATTTTTGTTGTTTATTAAGTCACAAATTTGGCTTGTTAAGAATTTACATTAAAAACATTTTCTTGCAAATATTGATCTAACCTCACACATTTTGATATTCAATAAAAAGAATATGTGACATTGATGAAATTTTCTTCAATGAAAGATAATTTAAATAAAATAAATTTAAATATTCTTTTCTTCGCCTTTCATTACAAAAAAGAAAACTAAAAACTTTAATTACCTAATATTTCCACAAATTATTCCGAGATTCCATTAAACTCGAATCAAGAACGAAGCGAAATTACACGCATTATCATACTATTTATTCGAAAGGAAGAAAGAGAAAAAAGTTTTTTATCACGTTAACAATATAGCGGTTTCTTGCAACGAAAATGTGCAACGTACCGCGTATAATCAGAAAAACACGAATGGCAAGTACCCCTGATTGAAATTGATTTACGAGCGTGTGTTTAAATTCTTAACCCTTCCAGACAAAGAGGATAAAAACCGTGCTGGCAACACCGCTCTCCATTGACATGCTGGCACGATTTACGAAATTGCCCCGATCCTTCTCGACATTCAACTTTTTTCTCGCCATTCAGTAACCAACCACTGTAATGTATGCACATACGTAGAACTGGTAACAATCTGTGCAACTTTTTCAAAGAAAAATTGGAAACGAGTCTTTATCTATCCATCTACGGAGGAACGATTTAGAAAATGTTTGTGAAACGTTTTGAAAAATTCTTTCTCTTTAAAGCGTATCTTTCTTTCAAGATACATGAGAAATGTTCGATTAATTTTTCTTACTTGTTTTTTTCTTTTTTAAATATAGAATAATGAAAATGAATCGGACGAAATGTAAATTGTGGGATAGCAGTCCGATGAAAAGAAGAGTTCACTTTCGAACTTTTTGTATGTGTATAATAAATTTCAAATCAAAATAAAGCTTAAGCTTATCAACAGAATAACATCACTTTATATATATCACAAATAATTTTTTGTCTCTCAACAGGACTACTAATTTTCCTTATTCGTTACATATTTAATAGACACATAACCTATACATAGCCAAATCTTCATATCTATAATCACGTACACGATAATTCGTACCTTCCAATCGTGTAAACAGCATGCATCTGAAAACAAAAAAAAAAAAGAAAAAAGAAAAAAGAAAAACGCGCGTGCAAAAAAAAAAGAGAAAATCGCGACAATAAAACGGTGATTTATAGGGGACGATGGTGGCTTACGTTGTAATCGCCGAGGGTTATCTGAAACAGTGCCATCCAGGTCGAGTGATAGGAACTGTAGAGGGATGATTTCACTCCCGGGAATCCTTTGTACAAAAAGTAGAACGACTGACAGAAGCCGAACAGTACCACCATGTATATTATACCGAAGGTCAACATGTCTCCCGTTATCATGCTATACACCATGGTGACGAATGGACCGGTCAGCCGGACAGCCCTGTAAAAAACAATAATCGGGATATGGACGAGATGATAATGATAAAACGGTTTGTTGCCGATAATGAAGCGTTAAAACGCGTCCAAAGGATCAGATAGTAGGCACGTTTGTTCGTTCGTTCGTTCGTTCGTTAGCTCGTTCGTGCGCGCACGGATTTCATCGCGTGTCCCTGTGAACAGAGAGGGCGTCAGGAAGAGGGGAAGGAGAGGGAGAGGAGGAAGGAGGGGGGGGGGAGGTGATGTAGTCGTTTCGTACAGCGAAAGATAATGGCCTCGACGATCGATGTCTTCGTGGAAAGCCACGGTCGAATATCACGGGTTTAACATTCGTTTCAAGAAAATTTTTGTGTCCTGTTTCATGATGAATCGTTACATTTGTTGGATTTTTGTCATACTTGTTGAGTACTCATTGAATGTTTAAGGTTTAAGATTTTATGCGAATTTTATGATGGAAAGTGATTTAGGATGGTGTTGTGAAGAGAATGAATTGGGTGATGAGTCTTATTGTGAATATTTGTTGATAAGAAATATTTATTGGATGATTCGTTTTTCTAAGCTCGATAGATAATGCCAGCTAAAACGCATGACCATTTGACTTATAATTTGAATAGTTTTGAGCAATATCAAATTGTAAATATTGACTATAGCTGCTTAACTATTGTATAAAATTATTAGATCATATTCTATTACTTTGTCTGGTATAAATCTTTCCTAATTCTAACTTCTAATACATTTGAATGATTCTAGCAATTGTCACCAGATGTCTCTTACCTGTTTCTGTTACTTCTGCTCTAACAAGATTTGCAAGATCCAAGTCATTATACGTTTGGATTTAAAATCATTTAAATTCGTTTCTTTTTTGAAAATTAGCATTAGATAGACTCTTAACACTATTTTATAGATGCAATGGTATATATATACGTGGAAAATCTATGATACCTTAATTTGTATACACGATAATCAAAGTTTCTGGCTATACACAGCACCAAGTTCCTTGATCTCAAGCGGCTTCCAATCAAAGGATTAAGTTTGATATAGTAGCTTTCACAGAAACGTGTATAGCCAGAAGTGTTACTGAAATCGAAGCATTCAGTTACAGATACCGATTTACACAAAGTTCAATCAGTGTTCTACTAATTTTTGTACGACAATTAAGCTACACTTTGATACCTGAATTGATTTATTGTCTCATTGCATTTCTCGCAAGATTTTTAATACAGAAAATTAAGATTTTTGGATCCATTCGATTAGATTACGACTCTAATTCAGAATATTTTTGTCAGAAAATTCGAAATACGTGTTATTTTCTGATCTGAACGTATGTACGTAGAAAATTTAAAGAAAAATTATAGATTCGACGAAAAGTTATCGAGACGATGGATTAATTAGTCGACTTCGAAAATTACTCCTCCTTCAAGATCATACGGTAATAAACATAAACTACGTAACGAGTATAATGCTGTCCAAAGTTAACTTATTAACGCAGTAGCTTTGAAGCTTTCGCTTTGTCTTTGAAATATGAGAACAAGAAAGCGCATCGCGTTGTCTATGAACAATGAATACTGGTGAATATTTGAGGATTGTTTCTAGTTAGGCTGCGCTAAGCTTCCTGTTTTCAGTAATGGCGGAACAAAGGGCTCTAACCATGAAGAGAGCTTTAGCTCAGTCGGTATAGTTTGCTCTCTGTCTACCAAGGTAGTACACCTAAACTTTCTAAGTGTAAACATGTTCTTTTGTTAAGCTCATCTCCATGGTTTTGCGACTTATCGGCCCACCCCCATCGATTCTGGATAAACCGAATCCTGTCTTGTCCCTGGTGAAAATTTAAAATTCAAAAATTCCGTGGCAAAATACCATCTTGGTAAAATTGATTTTTGAAAAAGAGCTACTTTGTACTTTGTACAGTGTTAGAGTTAAGGGAAAAGATATTCCTCTTTGATTATCTATCATCAACGAATATTACGTAGAGAGAGAAAGAGAGAGAGAGAGAGAGAGAGAGAGAGAGAGAGAGAGAGAGAGAGAGAGAGAGAGAGAGAGAGAGAGAGAGAGAGAGAGTAGTAGTAGTAGT